AATTATCATGTATTGCTGGGTGGAAAAGAAAGGAAAAGAGAAGAGAAGAGAAGAGAAGAGAAGAGAAGAAAAGAGAAGAGAACGAAAATAGCCTTCGAATGGACTTAATTAATTCCAGACGGACAAAAAATTTAAGAAAATGAAGAGCCTATTTTATTCATTTCTTGCTATGCACGGTCGGTTCATGATCAATAATACAAAATAAGTGTTTGATCTTTTATTAGCCTCATAACACCTCACATCAGAATTCTCCAGAGAGGCCACCGCAACCTCCTTTTTCTTAGTCTGTGGTTCCAACATTTATGAATCATAATGAAAAAGAAATAATACAAGCAGAAAACCTAAGGTGATTCGTGTCTGAATGTACAAATATAACAATCATTTCACAGCGATCATCATCAGCTGCTTTATGCAGATTAATTCATCGGCAACCAGTTAAGAATTATACATAACTATCCGTGTTCGACGCCGTTATGTATTATTCAAAAAAGAGGAATTAATCTAAGAATAAGTCATTCTTCTAATATTCCTACGATGTTCATCATTCTGGAACTTCGGCAACAGAAAAAAAAAATCAGGTGAATGAAAATTCAAAAAACATCTAAAACTAGACGGCACCGATGCGAAGATTTTTATTTTTCATAAACGCATTTCATTCCGTTTCGTGATAGTTTGTGAACTTGTTTTTATTTTTCATAAATGCATTTTATTCCGTTATTTCGTGGTAGTTTATGAACTTGTTTTTATTTTTCATAAATGCATTTCATTCTGTTTCGTGGTAGTTTGTGAACTTGTTTTTATTTTTCATAAATGCATTTCATTCCGTTTAATTCGTGGTAGTTTATGAACTTGTTTTTATTTTTCATAAATGCATTTCATTCCGTTTAATTCGTGGTAGTTTGTGAACTTGTTTTCATTTGTGTTTTACAATATGCCTTATTCAGGAACTTCGGCTATCGAGGATAACTTCGCAAAATGAGAAAAACCATCTTTAAAAGAGAAGACTTTTTTCTTTTCGTTTCTTTTCTTGGTAGTTTGTCAACTTTTAATTTTCGTTTGTGAATCTATTTCCGTTCTGTTGTATCTTAGAGAAGTGTCCTTCTTCTCTGCTTAATCTAAAGTCTAGAAGTCTCTAGTTGCTCCATATTCTATTCAAGAAAGATAATCTACACTGTATGATTAAAAAACCAAGTTGCCATCTTTTTAATTACTTACCATATTTCAGTATCAGTGCCGGTTTTTTTTTTTTTTTTTTTTTTTTTTTTTTTTTTTTTTTTTTTTTTCTGTCGTCTATGAAACAACCGAAAAGTGTTTTCCTAATTTTTCCATTTTACCCCCTTATGGTTACCCAAGAATTCACTTTTAGTGTAATAGATTGGAATAGAATTGAATATGACACAACAATAAGAATTTTACTCCTCTGCAGGCTTCAAGCTGAGTGTTGTTCTCGAGATTCTAAGAAGTTTAATTACTGAAGAAACTCATTGACAAAAAGAAGGCACTCCAGCTTCTCAGACACTCGAAATTTTAACTCTACAATATGAATGCTAAAACTCAGAAGAAATGCCTTTAGCTTGAGTGTCGAGTTTAGTAGTAAGATTTTAAGATTAATGTCAATAGGTGTTTCTGGAATAAGAAAAGCATCTTTTCGTTGACAATACGAAAGTCCTGTCGTGAGTATGGAGAATTGTTCCAACACTAGACCACACTTCAAAGAGTATTTTATTCGTCAAAACACTCCCGTTGCGATGTTATCAAAGTTTATGTTATGTAACGATGGTCATCCATCAAATTCAAGGACTTGTATGTTATCAATTATTTACGAAGGCCCTATTTTGTTTACAGATGTAAACCAACGCGTTTCCCGCCATTGCACGATCACCTGCGGCTACGGTGAACGATTTGAAGAAATCCTGGTTTGTTGGACAGAGGATAAACAAGCGATTTCTTTTACAATTATGGCGAGCACAGCAAAATGTATGGCTTTAGCGTTCTTGTGGTTATGCCTTTATGTCTCAGGTAAGTCAAATAACTCGGATGGTGTCAGTTTTGAGAAGTAAAAAAAATGTTAAAGTGAGGCCGTATGAAATTGGCGAAACTGATGCAAAGATGTTGACATTGAATCACACAGCCGCTACCGGTTTGTTTAGTTAAGATTTTGCCAATTTTAAATATGAGCCTGTGTATCTTTTCAGTAAGCTTTCTTGTTCTTCTTTTTGGTTGACCTAATTTTATGTCGTCAAGCCAGCAATAGAATTTTAAAAATTTGAAGCATCATGTACGCCATTGCTATAAATTTTGCAAATCTACTGAGTGAAGCACTAGTCGTTTGAATTCAAATAATTTGGATAAGCCGGATATTTCTTGCATACTATTATCATCTCTAAAACTCCGGGACTAATATTTTCGACAAACAGTCGCAACCGATCAAAATAATTCAAAATAATTCAAGTATTTCAGACATTATTTTTCTAAGTGGTTTATTTAAATATAAAATGTGGTTGGAATTTTTTTTTCTCGTTTGTTCAAATTATATTCGGGAATTGAAATTCCATGAAATGTTCAAATTATATGGTTTACCATGGGCTTTCTTGCAAAGCAATGCCTGACGATTCTAGAAAATATCGATAAAGTAGCATAATTTTTTCGTGGGAATGACATGAATCTTTGAAGTGTGGAAACATGATTAATTTAGACTTGTTTAAAAAACAAAGTAGATTGGGATTGTCAAAAATTCCCAATCAGAAATAACTTTATTTAATTTTTGTAATATATTAAATTCCCAGTGTAAAACTTATTTCTGTTCTTTTGGTTATTGAATGAAAACTTCAGTACAACTACATAATTTGGGACAAATTTCGCATATTCAAGGCATCATGGCCCGTTAAGTTGGACGGCTATATCAGTGCTTGCAACTTTGAAACTGTTTTGCCTTTGAAATGTTCAACCCTGTAAGAAAATAATGTTCAAAAATAGCTTAACACACACACACACACACACACACACACA